TACTTTGGTTACGTTAGGGTTGCTTAAGATAAGGTCTTGGTTAGTTTAAATTGGCTTATGTTGTATTACAGGGTAAGTTAGGGTAGTTTAGGCTAGGCTGTATTAGGTTAGGCTATATAGTGCCAGATATATTAGGATAAGTTATAAGTTAATTTGTGTGAGGTTAGGTTAAGTTAGGTGTAGGTAGTTAGTAGGTGTAGGTAGTTAGTATTAGGTTAAGTCAGTTATTAAGTCTGGACTAAATTTAGCCTTAGTGTAGGCAGTAGAGGCAGAGTGGCACTGGTCGGGTGGGGGAGTCTGTAGTGGACCAATCACCCTCCGTCAAACGTATTTACATATTCATGAATGTTCACACGCGTTCACTTACACGTAAAGCACATCCACGAACAGACAGACAGACAGACAGACACACACACACACACACACACACACATGTATATACAGTAAGTAAGGTAGAGTAAAAGTTGTCACCGTCACGTAGCTCACCACCACACAGCCGGCGGTCAGGTAAACACAGGTTATAACTCGTAGAAAAATTAAGATTCTCTCGACTAGACTGCAGTTGGCTGAGGTGCTAACTCACTTCAGGTAGTTTCATGCCTTGACCTCTGACCTCTCGACACTAAAAAACTGCTTGCGTTTCTTGAGTGCTGTTATGGTAAGTATATACTGTATGTATCTGATGTAAAGGCAGTGTAGGTCTTTCTTTTCTAGAGTTAAATTACTGACACACATATTTGACACGTCCAGCAATCCCCTTCTCACGCGACACCAAATCAATGCGAAATAAAACAATTGACATCGGGTATAAGCTTATTGTGTCCTAGTTCATGTTAACGAGTCGTGCCACATGTCTGAATATTCCTTCATGTTAGTGATGTATATGTGACGTGTCTATCAATATTCATGATTAGCAAGAAACACCTTGATATATTTTGTGACCAGTTGATATATATGTATTATTGGTTAATCTTTGATAATTTATGGAACTTACGAATTTTTCACTAGATAAAGTAATTTGTAAGTTCCTTACATAAGAACATAAGAACATAAAAATGGAAGACACTTCAGCGGGCCTATTGGCCCATACTGTGCAGTCCCATTTACACTCAGCCCCTATTGCTCATATATCCACCCAACCTATGTTTGAAGCTATCCACCGTATTCGAGTTAATGATGATATTTGGTAACTTGTTCCAGTCGTCCACTACTCTATTTCCAAACCAATGTTTACCTATTTCGCGCCTAAATCTAAATTTGTCTAATTTAAAACCATTGTTGCGAGTTCGCTCCTGGTTGGATAGTTTGAGTACCTTTGTAATGTCCCTTTGTTTAGCCCTGACTTCCATTTATACAGCTCGATCATGTCGCCCCTCACTCCACGTCTCTCGAGGGAGTGCAAATTTAGATGCTTTAACCTGTCTCTGTACTCAAGGGTTCCTAATGCCCGGGATTAGTCTTGTCATTCTCCTCTAAATTCTTTCCAGGAATTCTATATTCATTCTGTAATACGGTGACCAGAATTGAACTGCGTAATCCAAGTGAGGTCTCACAAGTGCAAGATAGAGTTTTAAGATGACCTCGCTACTCTTGTAACTAACACTCCTCTGTATGAACCCAAGTAGTATATTAGATTTGTTTCGAGCAAATACACATTGTTTACTTGGCTTAAGATTCCTACTTATCATTACTCCTAAATCTCTCTCGCAGTCGAATTTCTCAATAACTTCGTTGTTCATCTGGTATCTGGTTTCCCTGTTTACATCTCCTATCTTGAGTACTTTACATTTCTCCACATTGAATTTTATCTGCCATTTTTCAGACCATTCGAAAATTTTTTTTAGATCTTCTTGTAGTTTTGCGGAGTCCTCGTCAGATTTAATTACACATCCTATTTTAGTGTCATCAGCAAACTTACTTATGTTGCTGTCTGCGCCGATATCTATGTTGTTTATGTATATAATAAATAATAATGGTCCAAGAACTGAGCCCTGCGGAACTCCACTAGTGACGTTGCTCCAATGGGATTTAGTGCCGTTAATGCTCACTCGCTGCTTACTGTCCTGTAACCACGCCCTAATCCATTTTAGAATATCACCTTTAATGCCATGAGCCTCCACTTTTCTTATTAGTCTTTCGTGGGGGACTCTGTCGAAGGCTTTGCTTAAGTCGAGATATACCACATCATAATTATGCCCCTCGTCCACTGATTCGAAAACTGTTGAAAAGAATGTTAATAGATTAGTTAGACATGAACGCCCGCTTGTGAAGCCTTGTTGGGAATCATTGTTCAACTTGTGCTTGTCCAGGTGATTTCAAATAGAGTTTGAAATGATTGCTTCCAGTAATTTGCCTACAATTGATGTTAGGCTGATTGGACGGTATTTAGAGGATAGTGATCTATCTCCCTTCTTGAAGATCGGTATTACGTTTGCTATTTTCCTGGAATTTGGTACTACACCTGCTTTTAAGGACATGTTAAACAACTTTGCTAAGGGCATACTAAGCTCTTCCTTACATTCCTTTAATACTCTGGCAAATATCTCATCGGGACCTGGTGACTTATTAGGCTTTAGTTTGTGTATTTGCTTACTAACATCGTAACTAGTCACTTCTATCTCGCTTAATTTATTTTCTTCACTATCTCTGTATAGAGTCGGAGCTTCGGGTATCATGTTCAAATTTTCGGTGGTGAAAACTGTTGAAAAATATCTATTTAGATTATTGCTCATTTCTCCTTCGTTATCAATTAGCTCGCCGGTATCTAACTGTATTGGTCCAATCTTTTCTCGTGTTTTAGTTTGATACATTTGATAGAATCCCTTGGGGTTTGACTTCGCCTCCCTTGCTATCTTCAGCTCATTATTCCTCTTGGCTTTTCTTTTCTCGGTTTAAACCCTACCGGCCAATACCTTATAGTAATCTTGGAGGTATACTTCACCACGATTTATTTACTGGTGATGTTAACTTCTTGATTGCCATGACTCAACCTCCCCGAGTACAGTGTAATCGTACTCAAGGGGAATAGGTCATTGCATTCAATACTCAAAGATTAAATTGTTATATAATCAAGTTGTTGGGTCATCGTATTTAAGGACTTAAGCATCATACTCAAATTACTAAGAGGGTTGACATCATCCTAAAAGATTAAGTAATTGCATTTGGGGTTAAGACATCATACTCAAGGGTTAAGACATCGTACTCAAGATATTTGGATTACACTTCCCTCTAACTCGATTGTCAGATTATAACCAGTGGCCTAGAAAAGTGTTGTGTTACCATGTTATTGTAATACTTTTGTCACTATATCACTGTAATACCAATGTTACCAATCTTGGGTCGACTTACATTAAATTTTCTAAGTCTGTTGATAATGTTGGTCATCATCGATGGAACATGACCCACTGAATCCTGTACTCCAGAGCGAGAGAGAAAGAGAGAGAGAGAGAGGATAAGATAGATAGATAGATAGATAGATAGATAGATAGATAGAGAGCGCAACACTCACGTCAACACCCACTTCAGACCACAACACCCACGTCAAGCCACAACACCCACATCAATACCCTCGTCAGGCCATAACACCCACGTCAGACCACAACACCCACGTCAACATCCACGTTATACCACAACACCCACGTCAACATCCACGTTATACCACAACACCCACGTCAAGACCTACCAGCCACAACACCAAATGTCAACACCCAGACCACAACACCCAATGTCAACACCCACGTCAGACCACAACACCCACGTCACAGCCACAACACCCACGTCAACACCAACGCCAGACCACAACACCCACGCCGCCACAACACCCACGTCAACACCAACGCCAGACCACAACACCCACGTCAAGCCACAACACCCACATCAATACCCTCGTCAGGCCATAACACCCACGTCAGACCATAACAACACCCACGCAACACCACGTTATACCCAACACCACGTCAACATCCACGTTATACCACAACACCCACGTCAAGACCTACGTCAGACCACAACACCCATGTCAACACCCACGTCAGACCACAACACCCACGTCAACACCCACGTCAGACCACAACACCCACGTCAACACCAACGCCAGACCACAACACCCACGTCAAGCCACAACACCCACGTCAACACCCACGTTATACCACAACACCCACATCAAGACCCACGTCAGACCACAACACCCGTCTGACCCAAGTCAGACCCACAACACCCACGTCAACACCCACGTTATACCACAATACCCCACGTCAAGCCACACCACCCACGTCAAGCCACAACACCCACGTCAACACCCACATTATACCACAACACCCACGTCAACACCAACGCCAGACCAACACCCACGTCAAACCACAACACCCACGTCAACACCCACGTTATACCCCAAACACCGCCACAACACCAACGCCAGACCACAACACCCACGTCGCACAAACCCACGTCAAGCCACAACCACAACACCCACGTCAAGCCACAAAACCCACGTCAAGCCACAACAGCAATGTCAACACCCACGTCAGACCACAACACCCACGTCAGAACACAACACCCACGTCAACACACACGTCAGACCACAACACCCACATCAACACTCACGTCAGGCCACAACAAACACCCATGTCAAAACCCATGTCAGACGACAACACCCATGTCAACATCCACGTCGACCACAAACACCATGTCAACATCCACGTCAGACCACACACCCACGTCAACACCTGCCCGACCACAACACCCATTCAACACCCCACGTCAGACCCACAACACACCACGTCACCCACGTCAGACCACAATACCCACGTCAACACCCACGTCAGACAACAACACCCACGTCAACACTCACGTCAGGCCACAACAACACACAATGCCACCTCCAACACCCACGTCAACACCCACGTCAGACCAGCACCCACGTCACTCAGTCAGACCACAACACCCACATCAGACCACAACACCCACGTCAAGGACAACACCCAAGTGAGACCACAACACGCATGTCAACACCCACGTCAGACCACAACATCCCACATCAACACCCACGTCAGACCACAACACCCATGTCAGATCACACCACCCATGTCAACACCCACGTCAGACCACAACACCGACATCAACACCGTCAGCCACAACACCCACGTCAGACCACAACACCCACGTCGCTACAACACCCAAGTGAGACCACAACACGCATGTCAACACCCACGTCAGACCACAACATCCCACACCACACCCACATCAGACCACAACACCCATGTCAGATCACAACACCCATGTCAACACCCACGTCAGACCACACACCACATCAACACCCACGTCAGGCCACAACACACATGTCAGACCACAACACCCATGTCAACACCCACGTCAACACACGTCACGTCACCCATCAACCACAACACCTGTCAACACCCACGCAGACCACAACACCCACGTCAACACCCACGTCAGACACAACACCCACGTCAGACCACACACCACGTCAACACCCACGTCAGACCACACACACCCACGTCAAGCCACAACACCAACGTCAACACCCACGTTAAGACCTACGTCAGACCACCACCCATGTCTTGACCCATGTCAGACCACAACACCAATGTCAACACCCAAGTCAGACCACACACCAACCACACACAACACCCACGTCAACACCCACGTCAGACCACAACACCCACATCAACACTCACGTCAGGCCACAACACCCACGTCAAAACCCATGTCAGACGACAACACCGTCACACCACCAACCACACACCCATGTCAACACCCACGTCAGACCACAACACCCACGTCAACACCCATAGCCACCACAACACCCATACCACCCACGCCGCACAACACCCACGTCAACACCCACGTCAACACCCACGTCAGACAACATACACCCACGTCAGGCCACAACACACACGTCAGATCACAACACCCACGTCAGACCACCCATGTCAACACCCACGTCAGACCACAACACCCACGTCAACACCCATGTCAGACCACCCATGTCAACACCCACGTCAGACCACACAACACCCATGCCACACCCACGTCAACACCTCACGTCAGACCACAACACCCACGTCAGACCACAACACCCACGTCAAGCGACAACACCCAAGTGAGACCACAACACGCATGTCAACACCCACGTCAGACCACAACATCCCACGTCAACACCCACGTCAGACCCACAAAACCCATGTCACATCACAACACCCATGTCAACACCCACGTCAGACCACAACACCGACATCAACACCCACGTCAGGCCACAACACGCATGTCAGACCACAACACCCATGTCAACACCCACGTCAGACCACAACACCACAGTCAACACCCACGTCAGACCATTACAGTCAAATACCGGCTAACTGATAACGACGGAGAAATGAGCAATAATCTGGACATATATTTTCAACAGTTTTCACCACCACAATTTAAAAATAATACACGAGGCACCGACAATATAAGAGATAGAAGAATATAGATTAAACGAGATGGTAGTGACTAAACAATATTAGTAAAGAGACAAGCTGAAGCCTAATAAATCACCAGGCCCCGATGAGATATTTGCCAGAGTACTAAAGGAACGTAAGGAAGAGCTCAGTATGCCCTTAGCAAAGTCGTGGGTGTAATACCAGAATCCTGGGGAAAAGGGAATGTAGTTCCGATTTTCAAGAAGGGACAGATCACTATCCTCTAACTATCATCCAATCAGTTTTACATCATTTGTAGGCAAATTATTGGAAGCAATAATTTCAAACTCTATTCTAAATCACCTAGAAGCATGTTGATCAATGATTCCCAACATGGCTTTAAAAGCGGGCTCATGTCTCACTAATCTATTAACATTCTTTCATCAGTTGAATCAGTGGACGAGGCACGACTATGATGTGGTATATCTCGACTTTAGCAAATCCTCGACAGAGTCCCCATGAATGACTAATAAGAAAAGTGGAGGCTCAAGGAATTGGAGGAAATATTCTAAAATGGATTAGACGTGGTTACAGGACACGAAACAGCGACTGAGCATTAACGGCACTAAATCCGATTGGAGAAACGTCACTAGTGGAGTACCCCAAGGCTCAGTACCTGGACCATTATTATTTATTATATACATAAATGACATAGTTATCGGCGTAGACAGCAGCATAAGTAAATTTGATGATGACACTAAATATGGCATGTAGTTAAATGCGACGAGGACTCTGCAAAACTACAGGAAGATTTGATAAATATTTTCGAATGGTCTGAAAATGGCAGATGAAATTATGGACAAATGTAAAGTACTTAGTAAAGAAGATGTAAACAGATAAACCAGATACTAGATAAACAACGATGTCATAGAGAAATCCGACTGTGAGAATGGTTTAGGAGTAATGATAAGTAGGAAACTTAAACCAAGCAACATGTATTTGCCCGAAACAAGACAAACAAAGTACTTCTTCGGCCTCAACAAAGGAGTGTTAATTAAAAGATTAGCGAGGTCATCCTAAAACTATCTCTGCTGTGAGACCTCACTTGGATTACGTAGTTCAATTTTAGTCACCGTACTAATAGAATGCTGGAAGCAAAAATTCAGAGGAGAATGAAAAGAGTAATCCTGGGCATTAGGAACATTGAGCACAGAGCGAACTCTGTAACAATGTTTTTAATAAGACAAATTTAGATGGCCGAAATAGATAAACATTGGTTTGGAAATAGAGTAGTGGATGAGGTGAACAAGTTAACAAACATCGTCATACTCCCGAATACTCTGGATGGCAAACATAAGTTGGATGGATATATAGGCATTAGGGGTGGGCAAATGGGACTGCAGTATGGGCCAATAGGCCCGCTGCAGTTTCTCCATTCTTATGTTCTTATGTTAACACCCCGTCAGGCCACAACACCTACGTCAGGCCCACAACACCTACGTCCAGGCCACAACACCTACGTCAAGCCTACAACACCTACGTCAAGCCACAACACCTACGTCAGGCCACCCAGCACCTGCGTCAAACACAACACCTACGTCAGGCCACAACACCACGTCAAGCCACAACACCTACGTCAGGCCACAACACCTACGTCAAGCCACAACACCTACGTCAAGGCCACAACACCTACGTCAAGCCACAACACCCATGTCAAGCCACAACACCCACGTCAGACCAACACGTACGTCAGGCACCCTACGTCAAGCAACAACACCCATGTCAAACCACAACACCTACCGTCAAGCCACAACACCCACGTGCCACAACACCCGTCAGGCCACAACACCCTTTGTAAGACCACAACACCCATGTCAAGTCACAACATCCACGTCAAGCCCAACACACACGTCAGGCCACAACACCCACGTCAGGCCACAACACCCACGTCAGGCCACAACACCCGTCAGGCCACAACACCCGACAAGCCACCCACGTCAGGCCAACACCCACGTCAGGCCACAACACCCACGTCAGGCCACAACACCCACGTCAGGCCACAACACCCACGTCAGGCCACAACACCCACGTCAGGCCACAACACCCACGTCCAGGCCACAACACCCACGTCGAGCCTTACAACACCCACGTCAGGCCACAACACCCACGTCAGGCCACAACACCCACGTCAGGCCACAACCCCACATCAGGCCACACACTCCACACACACACACACACACACACACACGCACACACGCACGACATTCCATCAACCTTACTAGTCAGCTTCCACTACTTCGGAGTGTGTTTGTAATGACGTCTTGTTGGTGATATTCCTTTTTAGTTATTTTTAATGTAAGAAAATAATGAACAAAGTGACTCATATTATTTCTCATGGCGTGTCGCACCTTTCACGTTTTGTCTTCGTGCGGAACTAAGATACTTTTCTCAGGTATTCTGTTTAAAGAACATTGGTAGAATAGGAGGACCATTGTTAATGTTCAGGAGACCATAATATCGAGTTGGTGTTGTGATATTTATATACAGTTATATATTTTCAAGTTTGGTATTATTATTTACACTTGGAGCTTTGTTAATAGAAAAGATTATTAATATATTATTTGATTCATACTTTATTAATATTATTATTTTATTTATTATTATTACATGAGATATTATTCAAATAACCTAAATCAATCATAATGACAATCAACGCCTTGGTTTCCTTAACTGGGGTCAATTGCAACACTATATTTATTGAGGGTAAAACAGCAACATCACAGTCATTCATATCTATTTTACAATAACTGTTGAAGAGAGAATGTTAGCAGTGTGTAGCTGGGGAAGGAGTGAGGGATGGGGAGAGGTGCGTGTTTGTGCTCTCTGAGGTTGCTCCCCTCACACACACACACACACACACACTGTTTGATACCCCTATTTCATCAGGTTAAGCGATATATGCAACTCTTCAACACAGATGACAACAATAAATACAAACGACGAGGAACTTGTTGTAAATGTTTCACGTCGAAGTTGGATGAGATAGTACATACAAACCTACTAAGTCCTCTGTGTTAGTAGTAAAGTGTTATTTATTACCTGTGGACTTATCGGCAACCAAAGAGGGTTTTCCTGTCTTTTAACCTCCAGCAGTTGAAAATATCCTGCTCCTAAATGTATTCAGTGTTTGTCTTTGTGGGAAGATGCCATGGTGACTTGATTTGATAGTTATTCTTATTTGACCTTCCTGTGCTGTATAGTGGTAGAAAAAACAAATTAGTGAAGGTCATATCCTTCTTCCCCACTCTTCCTTTAGTCCCATAGGCCCTATACCTAACCTAATCTTATCAAACTCTTAGTATTAGGCCCCAGTCGTAAGGGGCCTGATCTTAATGGTTAAGATAGGATAAGTAAGGTAGGATAGGGTCTATAATAAGACAGGTCTAGAACCGATTATACTGGACCACAGTTTTATGCTTTCATCACTCTTGGAGCCTAAACCTAATGGTCCTTAAATTCTAGGTCTAATCCTATCGAACCTAATCATGGCGAGATTGATTAGATGAGTCCATATTAGAGACTGGGGGCTTTTGACCTGTTCAGAAACAAACAGTAATTTACCGTCAGATATGCGAAACATACACAAACTGGACACTCTCTGGCCTCGTCTCATTCCAGACCGTGAATAAAAATCCGGAGACTTATTTCTTGTGAAGTGAGACTGAAATAAAGGTTGTACAATGATGAATTATAGAGATAGAGAGGTATATAAAGGGATGAACGGAGGATAGATGGATTGATAAAATGGTTAGAAGAAACAGAAGGATAAACAGACGATAAACAGACAGGTAGTAGGCAGCTACCAAACAGGAGGTACTACCGCCTGGAAGAGATATTAGCAGCATAATGTGTTGTCTAATGGTAGACCCTGCTGCCATATGACTTCACAATGTGACAAGTCCCAGGTTGCTGATCTGACTGACTTTCTGCCTCATTTACGCACATTTGCAGGGTCTCAATTGTAAACACAACATACATATATCGTTTCTCATTATTGATTTTTTATGGCTATTATTTATTTTTATTTATTTATTTATTTATTTTATTATTATTATTATTATTGTTATTATTATTATTATTATTATTATTATTATTATTATTATTATTATTATTATTATTATTATTATTATTATTATTATTATTATTATTATTATTTTATTATTATTATTATTATTATATTATTATTATTATTATTATTATTTTTATTTTTATTATTATTTTTTATTATTATTATTTTTATTATTATTATTTTATTATTATTATTTTTATTATTATTATTTTTATTATTTTTATTTTTTATTATTTTATTTTTATTATTTTTATTTTTATTATTTTTTATTTTTTATTTTTATTTTTATTATTATTATTATTATTATATATTATTATTATTATTATTATTATTATTATTTTTATTTTATTTTTATTTTTATTTTTATTATTATATTTTTATTTTATTTTTTATTTTTTATTTTATTTTTATTTTATTTTTATTTTTATTATTATTATTATTATTATTATTAATATTATTATTATTATTATTATTATTATTATTATTATTATTATTATTATTATTATTATTATTATTTTATTATATCTTCACCCTAGGTGGGCTAATCCGTAAAAGGTGTCTGAACATACAGACATTCGAACAGACGGATATAACAGAGAAAACGGATACAAAGGACAGAAAATCAGAAAGGAATAAGTACATGGAAGGACGAGCAGAAAACTAATAGACGGACAAAGAGACAGACATACATGAAGACAGATAAACGAACGACGGGTATGAGAGTAACCTGATCAAGACCTCCAGTATGAGAAACACACAGGCACAGAAAAATGAGAACCACACCATACAATTTCATTTTTTTTGTCATTAAACCACACACACAAATTTACGTTTGTCCATAAATTACTCTTTCGAGGAACACGATATTTGGTGCTCTTGTCGTATGAACATTACGAAGGCAAAGTAAAGTATGTTACCTCATCTCAGGTTCATAAAGGTGTGAAAATGGCCTCCGTTCACAGTCGATGGAGATGTGGGTTCAACAGTGAGTAAATGTAGAAGATAACACACAGTTTGTATTTTGGTATATTCAAACTTTGTCTTTTGGAGTACCAGGTAATTTGGTTGTGATGTTTTCCTGCCTAATGCATCCATCTACTTGACTATCTTTTTTATTTTTATTTTTTATTTTTGCAGAATTATCCTCGATGCCTCTTATAAGACTACTTGTTATACTGTCACTAACGTCCACTATTCCTGTCACTGTCACCAACATCACTATTCCTGTCACTGTCATCAACATCACTATTCTGTCACTGTCATTAACGTCACTATTCCTGTCACTGTCACAAACGTCACTATTCCTGTCACTGTCATCAACATCACTATTCCTGTCACTGTCACCAACGTCACTATTCTCTCACTGTCACCAATGTCACTATTCCTGTCACTGTCACCAACATCACTATTCCTGTCACTCTGTCCTTTAAAGTTTCAGTTTCTTGTCGCCACCAGTCACCGTATCACACTTAGATTCGCCATTATTCTCCGTGCTGTCCTGACTTATTTTAACGTCACACCTCGTCACACCATCATTCTTCTCGTACTCGTCACCACCCATCATTCTTCGTCACACCTCGTCACTACCATCATTCTTCGTCACACCTCATCACCACCATCATTCTTCACGTCACCTCATCACCACCATCATTCTTTACGTCACACCTCGTCACCACCATCATTCTTTACGTCACACCTCGTCACCACCATCATTCTTCACGTCACACCTCGTCACCACCATCATTCTTCACGTCACACCTCATCACCACAATCATTCTTCACGTCACACTTAAAAGCTTCACACTTTTATATTCCAATCGTCCTCCATCAGATGTACTGTCTTCCTCAGAACTCCTCTCTAGTGTTTGTTGTGGTGTAATGTTCTACACGTCTTGCCACACACTAGCTTGAAACACACACCCAAACACAATATCTGTCATTTTTAATGTGTGTGTGTGTGTGTGTTGTGTTTTGTGTGTGTGTGTCATATTTTGTATCTCTCTTTCATAGTTTCTTTATTCATTCATTCTCCCCTCTATCCATCCATCCAGCTTTCCTTCCTTCCTTCATTCCTTCTTTCCTCTTTCCTTCCTCCTCCCTACGTCTCTTCCTCTTTCTCCCCTTTACTTCCTCCCATTTCACCTTCCTTCTTTCATGCCTCTCCCTCCCTCTCTCTTCTTCCTTCCATCCTTCCCTTCCTTCTCCCCTCTCCCCCTTTCCTTCTCCCCTCCCCTCTCCCTTCCTTATCATCTCTACTCCTCGTTGGTTCTTCCACACCTTGTGCAACAGCAGGTTTGTGTCACAGGGTGTCGTCTGAATGTCTCCTCCTTTCCTGCCCCAGACACCAATCCATGAATACTTCTGACCAGTCCTTCCTCCAGTGTCTCCACCTAGTTATTATTGTTATTTGCTATTATTATTGTTATTTATTTATTTATTTTCTTTATTTATTGTTATTTACTGCTATTATTATTACTGTTATTGTTATTTGCTATTTATTTACATGTTGCTATTGTTCTTATCTATTGTTTTTATTTTCTTTATTTTGCTATTGTTATTATTTATTGTTATTTATTTATTTATGTTGTTATTTATTATTTCTTGTTATTATTGTTATTGTTATTGTTGTTTATTGTTATTTGTTATTGTTCTGTTATTTAGTTTGTTGTTGTTATTTTGCTGTTATTTGTTTGCTATTTATTTCTATTTGTTGTTGTTGTTATTATTTA